CTCTCTGCCTACGGTTTACCGGGCAGTTCTGTTCAGAATGCTTTGTAATTTTTTTTTTTTTTCTCAAAATATATATATGCATAAGCAGGGTATATATAACCAAATCAGTTTTTGCGTTTGCCGCTTATAGGGGGGTTATAGGTGGTGTTGGGGGGGGTATGAGGGTGTTAGGGGGTGGTATGGAGGTGTTGGGGGTGTTGGGGGTGTTGGGGGTGCCTATGGAGGTGTGGATGGGGTTATTTGGGGTTCTGGACCCAAAAAAAAAGAAACAATTTTTTTTTTTTGCACGGTGTCTACCGGTCGGCACCAACGGCGTCTACCGTCGGCTGGTCGGCAGCCGACGGGTCCGGGGCCACCGACCGCCGGCATGACTACCCTGGTGGCATTGGCTTTCCTTGTGAATTTGCACTTTGGAAATAAGCCAGGATCGTAACAATTGGCATCGGAGCGGACTTACTTGCTGGCGAGAGGTTTTAGTCACCCTAACCCTAATTCCGAGTAAGGGCTAACTAACCTCGGATTAAGGGTTGGAGGTTAGGTTAAGAGCAGCAGCGAGGTAGTGTGGGTGCTGCCCCCACCTGGTTAGGTCATGTTGAGTCGACATTGGACCTGACCAGGTTGATTGAGTGAATGATTGGGGTGACGAGACACAAAGGAGGCTGATTGGAGTGAGAGAGGGAGTAGAGAGCAAGAGGTACTCACACCTGGAATCTGGACCTGAAGAAGACATTGAGTGACTTTGGGCTTCCCCTCAAGAGGGAGACTTGACCGGAAGCTGCCATATCTGCATCGAAGAGCTGCAAGTTGCTACTTCGGTCTTCAACATCAATGGGGGATCCGACATTGTACATGGGTGTAGGAAGGCCCTCTTAGTCATGCTAGGACACTTCGTGTAGTGGTAAGGGAGAAACTGTTCTTTCAGAAACTTTATGATGATGCACTGCAAAAAGAGAGGGAGGCAGAGGCAGCAGCTAGAGCAACAAGTATTGCTGCCCAAGTGGCCCTTCTCACTGTTCCGTAGACCACTGATTCCCGGTTCAGGGAGAAGTAAGCCGCTGCCGTAGCCGTCTTGGTTCAACTGCGGACTTTGGAAGATTTTGAGTCGCACACGACAGCTCTAGAGCAGTAGAACCAAGAGCTGCAGACTGAGATCCCAGGCCTCAAGCAGGCCCAACTGACCTTCCCCCAACCTTCTATTCCTCGTCCTGTTGTTGTCCCAATGCTTCCCCCTAACTCAATCCTCATGCAGAGATCAAGTGGAACTGTGATGAGCGCAGGAACCGGTGTCAACTCTTCAAGCGGCAACGCCAGTGGCCCAAGACCCCGCAGTTCCTGTTGGTGTCCAGTACACCAGTCCCATGGTGGACAAGAGGGCAGTCACGCTGCCATCCAAGCACGATGGGAAGGGGGATTTTACCTCCTGGATTAGCTCCATGAGCTCATACTACGAGGTACTGAGAACACCGCAGGAAGACCAAAGTATGATCATGGGCATAAATATTGAGCCCGCCGTACAAAGCTTTTATTGAACTCCAAGCTGCCAGCGCATGTTACAAAAGGATTGACCTGACTGAGTGGTTGAAGGTGACTCCTGTACATTATCTTGCGGACCTCTTCATCGCACAGTATCAAGATAAGCGCGCTGCGCTCAAAGCAAGGTTGAAACTTGAGGCCCTCAAGGGCCAAAAGTGGAGGACTTCCATGCACGCTTTGGAACAAGATTTGACTAGTTTGTTCACTACTTTAAACCTGGGATGGATTAGCATATCTTGCATGGATGTAGTCATGGAAGTGGCCCCTGAAGAACATGTCTCCCGGCTAGGACTCGAGAAGCATTCGACTTGGCGTGAGATCTGAACGGATCTAGTCGACTTAGAGACCAAAGACCTCACCAGGCATGCGAAGGCACCAAGTGCAGGTAAGTCTTTACGACGCAAGCGGTTCTGAAGCAGCAAGTAGCTTGCTCTGCATGAACACTGAGAGGCTGAGGATCAATCCTATGCGAATGATCTGCCTCCAGATGACGATGTAGAGTCCGACGATGTCGGCTGTTCTACATCAGCCCTTGAGTCTGACATGAATGAGGAAGAAATATGTAATGCCTTTAGAAAGACTGCTTCAAACAAGGGGCCTAACCGCAGTTCCAGTACGGGAAGCATAACCCACCTTCCCAAGAATGCAAAGATCCCTGAGAAACCAGAGGATGCTTATACCAATCCTTGGGAAGCCCTCCACATTAGTAAAAAAGAATGGGGAAGAAGATCCAAACTGCACATGTGCTTGCATTGCCAAAAGTTAGGGCACGCTGTGCAAGATTGTTACCGTTTGCAGGAAAACAGGCAATGGGCGTAAAAGAGTTATCAACACTCTCTATACCAAGAGTAGTTGAACGGTCAGCTGCAGGCCCCTCCAAGTAGCCTGGATCCGATCAGCAGCCTGCTCATGAAGCCCGAACTGACGTTGAATCCAAGATTGCTGCAGTCCAAGTGCTTTATACCGAGCCTTGGGAGGAGTCTAAGGAAGTCGACTGCCATTCCCACCTGGAACATTGGCTGCAGCTCAAGCAGCGGTTTAAGCTGCCCATTAACCGCCAATACATTCGCATTTTAATTGATAATGGCTCAACAACTAACTTCTTTTCTCCTAACGGGATTCATAAGGTTGACCTAGAAATGCAGAATTGGAACTGCAGAACCCTTGTCAGACCCAAGTAGACAACCAAGAGGTTGTCACCTTAACGCATGCTGTCAAACCTGTGCGCATCACCTTTGACAAGGATCGCAGTCACATATGAGCTCAACTTCTACATTCTTGAAAAGTGTCCCTTCCACGCAGTAGTTGGCTTGGGCTGTGGCCCCCCTTGTCTACGGACCAAGTGGGCGGGTACTCAGTTCCTGGTGCGTGATGCGAAGGGGGACGAGCATACCATCTTATTGAACAAGATGTGTGAGTCCCTAGTGACTCTTTTGAGTGCGAACAAATTCTGTAAATCGGTGCGCAGGCGCAAGGAAGGTTAGCATTTGTGCGTGTAGCCTTTGTCAAGGACACACGCTTGCTCAAAGCTGCTGTTGCAGCGATGAACAAGCGCCAGCATGCCATGATCAAACATGCCAACAAGTCGTGCAAAGAAGGAAAATTTGAAGTACAAAGCTATGTCTGGGTCAAAATGTCTGAATTTTCTGATGAAGACGGGGTATCGATAAAGCTTCTTCCACTGTACTATGGTCCTTGGCAGGTTCTAAAGGTGGTATGGGAGGATGAGTTTGGTCCTTTGTGACATGCCGCCTCATCTGCGCATGTAGCCCGTCTTTCAAGTGTCCAAATTGTTTCCCCACGTAGCTGATGAGACTTTTCCCTTCCGAGATCCTATGATTACGCGTGCTACCAACGGTGGTCACTAAATAGACAGAATCGTTTCACATGAAGGAAAAGGGAGGCATAAACAGTACAAAGTTCACTTTCTTTATCACCCGTTGGATGAGTTCTAATGGATCAACAGAAAAGAGCTGTTAAAGAATGTTCCCCGTGTTGTTAAGGCTTACGAACGACAGATAGCCGACAAACAGACTGCTAAGTTCTCTGCAGCACTCACTCCTTATGGTCATACCACAACTCTCTTTCTGATCTACGCTTATGACGCATTTTGCAAGGGCTCTGAACGAGTTACTCGCTCGAAAGGACCTCACTCTTGAGAGGGGGGTAGTGTAATGACCTGCCAAAACACGGACTGAGAACACTGCTGATTTCTAGGTTTTGCCGCTGGAATGTATGCGTTGCTGAGATTCCCGCACTGTGCTGAGTTTTCCAAGTCTGTCTGTGTGTGCGTGCTTGCTGGCCAGTGTGCCTGTCCGAGTGTACGTCTGCCTGAGTGTGTTGTGAATGTACACCATCACATCTTCCCTGTTCCACCCAGATGAGTAGATCCAAAATCGCAGCAACTTTACCTCTATTGTAGAAGATGAAGCATGCTTGAGATGAATTAATCCAGCATGGAAACAGTGTTGTTTCCATCGTAAGCAACATGAGTCACAATAGAACCATTACCTTTATGCCAACAATGCCTTCACGATTAGATCCAACATCATGGGAACCTGACTTTTATGCAAGCAATGCATCATATACTTGAGAGAAGGTTACCCAACAATGAGACTGTTCGCAATCTGATAGACACCTGAGTGTGTGGCCGACAGGGCGCTTGTGTGTGATGAGGCCCGCAGGGCCGCCACTTACCTGTGGCTGTGACTTTGAGGGTTGCAACAGGAAAACACTCTAGTAGCAGGGGAGTCGGCCCACGGCATTTAGGGAAGCGAGACGAAAACACTCGAGTAGCAGGTAGGCCAGTACCACTCAAGTAGTGGCAGGGGAACTGGAGGCCAAGCAGAAGAAGACAAAAAGTTGACATTTTTAGAAGCCCAGTAGAAGGTTAGAGGTAGGCCGGTACCAGTCCAAGTAGCCTGAGTTTAGGGCCTGTCCGGACGATATCAGAGCCTGCAATGATGCTTCCGTCCGAAAGGGAGGAGCGAGTAGCTCCTCATTTGCGGTGTGAAAGGTTGGACGTCATACTGCTTGAGCGGGCACTGGTCTTAGAGCGCTGCCTGGGAGGACGAAGAGGAGCTGGGCGCTCACCCTGGCTATGGCGAGCAGCCCAGCTTGAGGAGGAGGAAGAAGGGGGGCGAAAGAGGAGAGTGGAGAGGTACCTACCTGGCTATGGTGGACACCATCTTCATCACCTTGTTAGGCGCTGCATCTGGAAGGTCCCGGTTGGTGTAGTGCCGCACCAAGGAAGCTTCAAGGCGGAGTCGGGCACGGTGACCTGATGAGCAGCAACCATAGCTGCTTTGTGTTGTCTTTTGCACAGGAGGGCAGAGCCCTTGATAGCCCGACATAGCCTTGGCATGTGGGAGGAAGGTGAAGAGGGAAGCCATGGGTATGCTGGACCTACTGTTAATCTGGCAGTAAGAGAGAACTTCGGATATTGATTCTGGTTCTACGACTCGTTGTTATTATTATTATTTGGGAGAAGAAAAAGATTGGCGGAGACAAGGAGGAGGAGGAAGGTGGGGAGAGAAGGGGGATTTGTCATTGTACATCTTCTTCATCTTC